TCTGGGTATGATATTCTCTTTACTCCTAGTTGTAGAATTTCCACTCAGCCAGCCCTCCTGTGGTTCTGGATGGTGTCCGTTCCGTGTTTCAGGTGTAATTTGAATTGGTTGTTCAAGGCAGCAATCTCCGGCATTAACCTATGCCGTCATCTTGGTTCTCCTCTTTGTCTGTTTTATTTTAGGGAACGTAGGTTTAGGCCTGAATTATTTACTTTTAAAAAGTTAAACAATATTTAACTTAAAATTTCTCAGAACCAAATCTGTGCCCTAATACAATGAATAGATTTTATTTTTCCTACATTTCATAAATATTGAGTGAAAGAAGCCCAGCACAAATGAGTACCTATAAATATGATTGCATTTATATAAATTTTAAAACAGGCCAAAGTAACCTGTTTGGTGCATTAATTGTAAAACTAGAAATCAATAAAAAATATATTTTTAAATATTCTATGTATTACATTGGATAATAGTTATATGGTATTTTCTTTGTTACTATTAATGAAATTGTTCATATATGTTGTTGTTTTTTAATATATTTCTTTATTGATTTCAGAGAGGAAGGGAGAAGGAGAGAGAGATAGAAACATCAATGATGAGAGAGAATCATTGATCAGCTGCCTCCTGCACACCCCCTACTGGGGATGTGTCCACAACCCAGGCATGTGCCCTTGGCCAGAATCAACCTGGGACCCTTCAGTCCGCAGGCTGATGCTCTATCCACTGAGCCAAGACAGCTAGGGCTGTTCATATATGTTTTATGTTTCCCCCAAATATCCACGTGTCACCTTACCAATGAGACATACCTCGACTATTTTTAATTGGTGGTCATCTATACTTTCACATTCCTGATTCTCATTACGTTGCTTTATTGTTTCTTCCAAAGACAACATTCTAACAGACTATATAATTTATTTATTATGTTTATTGGTTATTGTCTGTCTTCCCTGACCAGACTATAAACTCCACAAGGACAGGGATCTTTTTCTATTTTTGTTCACTGATATATCCCAAGCACCTAGAATCCAAATAGCATTGGATTCATAGTATTCAATAAATTCAATAACTGTTTGGGAAATTAATTAAATAGTATATTTTACAATTTAAAAAATTCAACAATATCAAGCCCTGGCCAGCATAGCTCAGTGGTTAGAGCGTTGGCCCATACACCAAAGGGTTGTGAGTTTGATTCCTGGTCAAGGGCATGTACCTGGGTTACAGGTTCAATCCTCGGCCCTGGTAGGGGCACATGCAGGAGGCAACCAATCAATGTCTCTTTCACCTCAATGTTTCTCTTTCTCTCTCTTTCCCCCTCCCCCACTCCCTTCTACCTCTCTAAAAATCAATGGAAAAAATATATCCTCAGGTGAGGATTAAGAAACAACAAAAAAATCAACAATATCAAAAGCAGTATACAAAACAATATCTCAACTCTGCATCAGAAAGGCTAGAAGAAATACACCATACTGCTAGTGGTAAGACTCTGCCTAGCAGTATTATGAGGAGTAATAAGCAATTATGGGTTTTTGTTTTTTCTGGTTGGCTTTTATTTCTAAAAGAGAAAGTCTGATCTTCAGAGTGGGTGGCCTTGTCTTGGGAATCCATCTCATCATTGGTCATCTGAATAGGAATAGTAAAAGGGACCACCCAGCCACAAGAGAGGAAACCTGTGAGTCAGATTCGGTTAGACAGGGCAGAATCTCTGGGGAAGTGAAGAGACCTGGAAAAGGCTTGAGAAAATCCAGAGGTGATCTCACAGAACTCCAGCAAAATCTGACTTGTAAAAGTGAGGGCATCTCCTTGGAAGTCAGGGATAGGAGGAGAGCTAGGAAACATAGAGCTGCAGGTGGAGCCATTCATGACCTGGCTGGATTCCGAGAGCCAGGGAGGAGGCTTCAAGAGAGGTGGAAGGTATCCCTGGCCCAACCAACCCATGCTCCCACCCTCTTAGGAACCTCATCTTATCTCAGAGGAATACAGTGCCCTCCATATAAAACACCTTAAGAAAATGGAAGAAAAGTAGAAGTAAAACTCTCCTATACATGATGAAATGCATCACAAAGTGTTGCCACAAAGGAGATAAAAATTGAAACCTATACTCCAAAGTGGATTGATACGCAGGTAGGTAAGTAGATAGGCAAGAGGTAGCTAAAACTTAATAAAGCAGTCAAAACTAGGAAGAAATACCACAAAGCAGAAACAGTGCCCTAAGAAGAGACAGCCAGACAAAGGAGGCTGTGAAATGGAATGGGTACAACATGGGAAAGTAGAAGAAGAAGAAATCATTTCAGAAATGTGAACTAAATTGCAAGGAGAATGTGTTCATAAAAGCACAATAAGGGACATAACGGATAGAGATGAAAAAGGCAAAGACAAGAAGGCAGAAGTAAGAATGTCAAAAAGACTTCAGTAGAAAGTGACAAGAGATCCGGTATCCTATTGGTAGAATCCCCAAAGAAGAAACTAAACAATGGAACTTATTCTAATCTAACCATAATTCATAAAAACTTTCTGAGATAAAAGAGGACTTGAATCTACATATTGAAAGGGCACATTATATGCCAAAACAAACACATGGAC